GGACACAGCTATCCCTCACTGGCCCAGGGTCCTGAGTCACTATATACTTTCTGCACCTCTGAGAAATCTGTTTGTGTATATTTAATTAACTTCCAGGTTCCAGATCCTTCTTTTACTACCTCCATTTTTTTTTGTGAAAAAGGCATGATTTACATCCCCAGGAGTTCACAAGCCGGAACAACAGATGCTTTGGAAGCAGAAGGGAACATAGTGGAAAGCTTGAGAGACAAGGGGGAAAACAACATCGTGGTGCCCCACAGTTTTCAAGACTTGTCCCCGCCCTGCCCCCAGTTGATTTTAAGTTGAAATAGTTAACAACTGTTTATGTTTGATGAAGATAAAGAATTATATATAACAGAGACAGATGAGATGATAATAAGGTAAAATGATAGGTTTCAGGAGTTTGGATCCTTAAAATTCAATAAAAGGATACAACTGTCAGTATAAAGGAATTCAGCTGATTTAAATCAGTCTGTATTATTTGTACTTAACAGTGAGAAAAAGGTTTCCCCGGGTCTCCAGAAGAGCACTCTAGAATGGGAAGTGTAGAGAATTAGTTCACAAGGTCCTAGAATTGAGGAACATCTATGTTAGCAAGTCTTCCACCTGAAACGCAGTCAATCTCATATTATCTCCTTATTTACTTCACCTATCTCAAACATTCTGTTGTTATGGTACTGTTTTTAAGAGGAAAAAAGTGAAATAATACCACTAATAATAATTTAGAAGTACGGTGACTATTTCCTGGATTCTTCCTAATCCAAAGAGAATCTTTCTATAGATTTACTCTGAAATGATCATGAGGACTGTGTGGGAACTGATGACCACTGGGATCTAGAAATCATCTGAATCTATACTAGGAAGATTGGAAAAGATGTCAACATTTGCACACATGGATTGGGCCCAGAGACACACAGACATATGCACTGAGATTAACTTGACTTGAGCTTGGGGGGTTTCCTACCATGAATTTCACAGTTTCTGCCCCCTGCATCTTTTTCCCTTTAGAGAGAGTTTGAGGATGTACCCCTGATGGCTTGGAACTCTATGTGTGGACTAGGCTGACCTCAAATGTATAGAGTTCCATCTTCCTCTGCCACCTGGGTGCTGGGCCACCATGCCAAGTTCATCTATCCTATTCATTCTAATGACAATCTTAAGTGTAGAACCTTTCATCCCTAATTGGGAATGAATAAGGATTTTGTTAATCTTACCATTTCAATTGTATTGCTTGAGATCTCCACTAAGAATCAGTACTATTTAGAATTCAGAATCAGTTCTCACTTTAAGGTGATTCTTAAATAATCTATGCGAATTCTGAAAGCAATGGGAAGGCGGGCTATTACTTCAAGTCCCTTAAGGGTGTTGCCTATGTTAATCAAACCAAATGCTTCTAAACTGTCTGGTGGATGTAATTTGTTGCATTTCAAGATAAAGCTATGTGTTTGCTGGATAGCCTTCATTTATATTCCCTTTGATCATGACTTACCATGGGTTACTAAAGATAAATATCTTTGATGGCACAGAAAATGAGTTTTCTTGGTGCTCATGCTGGGTTTGGAAATCAGGTTGCTAACTGCAGATCTCCCTTGAAGAATTCCAAAAAAGTTTAAATTGCTCATGTCATGTCTGGAGAATCTTTCAAACATGTGAAAACATTCAAGAAAACCATGTTACTGCGATGCTTAAAAAAACAAACAAACATGGTTTATGATATGTTTCTGGAGGTTAGGTCGTTTTATCCTTGTTTTCTCTCTTAATACACTGAAAAGTGAATCATTTGGACATTTATTATGGAAATCAGCTTAATGATTAGTCCATGAACACTGGTGTTCATGCTCTGTAATGAAAACAAAATTTAATAAGTGTCAGTTCAAATGCTGTCTAATGACCGTTAACGTTTAGGTGATTCTTATCTCTCCATGTAACACAATGAAATCTAAATTGAAATTTATTCCATCTCTTGATTTTAATGGAGTTAGCTGTTTTCTTTATTCTGCAGGCTATCCATACAGCCATGCTTTTGTTTTCTAATGCCCAAAAAATGAAAAGGCCTCTGTCAGATGTCAATTTAAATAAACACAGTTAGGAAGCTGAACACATCTAATGAGGGAAATTGTGCATCACATAATCCCAAGCTAACTCCAAAAGAATATTCTAAGACTATTCTTTATTATAAGGGAAAAATTAATGGAACAGGTATGCAGGTCCAACCTCAAGGTGTTGATTGTGGGAACAGGAGAGAGTGTGAGCTGGGTGGTCAGGTAGCTTTCTCTGGGTACCCCAAAGTCATGCCCCAACCTGGTCCAGCCTCTTAAAGGTCATTGGCTGAAGGAGGTTCCCCATCACCTCCTCCTTTTGTGTAAATAAGAGAGTTCCAAACCCAATACAAAACTATATATACTAGGAACAGATAACAAGTATAAATTAAAATTACAACTAGCATAAACAATATTAAGCAAGGAACATAAGCTAAATGTTTTTAATAAACATTCTATTCTAAGGAGTCTAAATCCTGTATCAGAAATGGCTTAGCTAGATCATAAGAGTACAGTAACTATGACTATCTAATCTTCAACCCCATCAAAGGCCTGAGAAGGGAGATAGTATTACTTGAGTAGAAGAAAATGCAATCAAGCAGCTTACAAAATGTGCGGTAGATGGCAGAGACAAATGGCTACTTGGGCAATCATCCTAAGTATCATCTACAATGTTGAAGTAGCCAACTTTGGCTAAGGCCTAGAGTAACTGGCAGACCATTTTCAGAGGCAGGAACGACTTTTAAAACCATCTTATTCTGTCTTGGCAAGGTTTGGCAGTCTTTTTCCTTGTGTCCTGCTTGTCCAGTCTGGACTTCAGGCACTTTGTCAGTGGTCGATGCATGGGCAGTTCCTTACCCAAAGACCAGTTCTGCCAAGAAGGAAACAAGCTCCCAGTATAGTGTCTTCGGTGCTCAACATTCTCTCAGGAATAGATCAGTGTTGCCAGGAGTAATCATGTCTCACTTCAACGGAACCTTAAGCTATTTAAATGCCATGTTCTACAGATCTTTGAAGGGGTTGAACATTACCTATCAATGTGAAATACAATCTCTATGTATCTTAACAACCTAATTAGCCTGACTATAAGAAATATAAAGACTACTGACTTTTAATACTTAATACCTATATAACATAAATGCTAAGACTTTATATCAGAATAATAAACAATCTTTAAATAACTGTGCAGTAAATAAGAACAATGAAATCAAAATGTAAACAATGTACAGTATCTTGATCAGAGGTAGAAATATATAGTGCAATATGATAAACATACCCTAAAATTGTATTAATATACAAAATGTCTTAAACGGAGGAAGAACTGTGCATGCATACAATCTGACAAAATAACTTTGTATAGGTGTACAAATATTGTAAGCAGAAACAGATGCATATTTAATATAACAAATACACATATGCACGCTATTGGCTTTTTGGTGCGAGCTAGCAGACTTTTCAGGGTTGGTTTTCTGTATTTAGTCAGATGCATGCTCAACACAAGAACAAATGAATGGACAAGAGACCACTTCATTATGAGCCACACCCAATTGCAAGCATTTTACACGCTCTACCTTTGTATTTAAGCTGGGCCATATACTTTGACGTAAGCAGTACCGTGATTCCCTTTGCCAGAAGAAATTGAGACAGATATATGTCAAGAAACTTGGTCAAAATTAAATTACTACCAGGTGGTCAAACTAGGAGCATTTAATTAATTAATTAATTCCAGTTATTTGAGACAGAATCTTGCTACATATCCAAGACTGCTCTGTCTCATACTAAGTGACTCTAGTTGGTCTGGTACTCATGAATCTACTGCCAGAAGGCATCTGAGTTCCAGAGTTACAAATGTATAGTATCACGTTCCAGTACCGAACTAGGATTTCAACCTGGTTCTTTCAAAATATTAAAAATTGGTTGCACTTATGTAGTATATGTATGTCCAACACATGCCACAGTGTTCATGTGTATGTCAGAGGACAACTTCCAGGAGTCTACTGTCTTATTCTGCCATGTGGGTACCTGGGGTAGAGCTCAGGTCATGAGGATTGTGACCCAACATCTTTGCCTGCTGAGCCATATTGCTGGCCCCTAACTCAGTTCTGTTTTACTCCAATCAATCTTAAACATTATGTTACACTGCAAGGAACCACCATTTTGGTGCCCTCATTAGACAGGGGAAATTATATTCTTTTCTATGAAGCAGATATTAACTAATAGACATGTTTTTCTGTCTTTATATTTATGTCTTGCACTGTATTATAAATTTCAGATCCTGGTTTTCCATTATTCAAGAAGGTCCAAGCTTTTGTGGGGAAAAGATTCTGACCTTACCATTAATTTTCATTTTCCATGTGTGCACAGGCCTGCTTTAACTGCTCAACATTTGTTTTCATTTAAAATGGGAAGTAGTATATGAAGCGTTGGTTTAAAAACTTTTAAGAATGAATGAATAACTAGAATATTTCACTGCTGGAAGTGCTTTCTAATTCTAAACTATTTGTAAATGATTAAGTGATTGGGTACACAATTAAAAGTACTTATATTAATTATTGGATGTTTGATAGTCACTAAAAAATGTTTCATATATTCTTTTGTTCTTGTTTTTCATTGACACAGTTTCTTTTAATCTAGACCTATTGGATAAATACAAAGTATGCTCATTTACCCCTGTCATCCTTAACCCCTCACATAGTAGTAGGCACAATTCTTTACTAAACTGGCTTGATACTGTAATATTGATTTTATTGCAAGTATGCAAAGGAACAGATACCTTAAGTGACATTTAAGTGTTATTAGTAAGCTTGTATCTATTGAATCTGCCTAAGCAACATTTCTAAAGGGAAGACGAAAAAAGAGAGATCTCATCTGGCAATGTTCCAAAAAAGGCAGGCAAAACAAAGTGAAAGAGGAAGAGGAAACATGTTGCACAATTCTGAATGAGGAAATGTACAGAGCAGAAATGGTGAGAATGGGCGTCAGCCAAACACAAAGGAATCTCTCTCACAACCTTCTGTCTTCAGATCATAACCAAATGACTCTTAGAGACAAAAATGGAAGGTTCAAGTGAAGACTTCTTTCTTGGAAAAAGGGACTTTCAATACAAATTCTGAAGAGTTGAAGTTCCAGGCACAAGGCATCAAGAAGTGGGGAGAGGAGCCATTTAAGCAGGTGATGTCATTCTTTAACGTTTACTATCTCAGTTCAGACAGTTCTTGAGGGGTGGGAGACTGAGACCAAAGTTATCAAGTATCTTTAGATCTTTCAGTCTGAAAAGCAGAGTGGATAGAAACTATCACCTGACAGAGTTATGGAACAGAGAGCCTGTGGTGGTCAGCCCAGGGTCAGAAGTAAAGAAAACCCGAGGATATGTTTTCAAATCAGAGACAGTCAGCCAGCTGATGACTGTTCTGAGGAAGGATGCTCATATCAGAGAGAGAGAGAGGGAGAGAGAGAGAGAAAGAGAGAGAGAGGGAGAGAGAGAGAGAGAGAGAGAGAGAGTGCGAGCGAGCGCACTCACAACTGAGCAGTGGTGTGAAACTGCACACCCATGGCTACCAGAATCCCCTTTATCTTCAGGGTTGGCTTTGACTGTCTGATTTCAGGGCCAACAGTAGTCCACAAATGCTTAATGAAACATATTAGAAATAAGCAATTCACACGATTTAAGCAACTTTAAATGCAGCATATTGTTATAAATACTCTGTTAGCACTATTAAATATTATTGTGTTGAGTTTACAACTTAAAGAGACACTGGCCCCCTACATTTAGGAAATAGCATAAGGTGTAGGATTTTGCACAAGCCTTGATTTCAGTTATTTGATAGTGGTCTTGGAATTTTTTTTCCTGTGGATACGGGAGCAATGGCTGTAGTCTGTAAGTATGTTGGGATGATTAAAAAGAAGAAATAAAGAATGAATGGGAAAGAAAGCAGGAAATAATGATGAGAAAGTTGAGGCATTTATTATTCTTTATAACCAGGCTTATACTCTTCCCTCATATAGACATATCTTTTTCTTCATATATTTCTATTTATTTATTTATTTATTTATTTATTTATTTATTTTGAAATCAAGAGCCCCTATGATATTCTGGGTACCTCTTCATCTGAACCAGAAAGGTACATTGTGTTTACTTAACTCATAGCAATAGCCCATGTCTTACAGCAATAGCCTTAGTCTCCAGAGAAGTCCTAAAATAATCAACAAATATCATTTCTCTTTCACACTTTCTTGAGCAATTATAAAAAAAAGAACTTAAGGAAATTTAATTTTAGCCCAGAGGCTATCTTTAAACACTATAAATGTAGGCTAGGAGAATATAAATTTATATTGCTAGTTTCAAAAATATATTTTTATTGAGGGTAACTTAGTTGGAAATACATTATCTTTTAAACATTTTAACTCATGCCTTTTAAAACTGATTTGGTTGTGTTTTATATATAATGTATGTTACATATGTGTTAAAGAGTTTCCTAAATTTTCTTCAGTTCAATTTTCTTATATAAAACAATGATAATAATGTAACACAATTCTAATTAATATTATTAAATAAAAACCCAGAGGCAGGTAAAATCTGAGAGATCAGTGAAGAAGAGGAGGCAACCACTAGTTCTTATTTCTACAAAATCCTCAGACCGAATGGGATATCATGTCACTACAAGTCCTCAAACTGAAGTCTAACCTTAGACTGAATCCTGAGTTCCTGTCTTCTTCTACCTTCTATTCCTCTCTTTGTCCAGTCATATCACTTCCTGTCTCCACCTCCCTACTGCTGAGATTAAAGGTGTGAGCCACCACTGTTTGGCTCTGTTTCTCTTTTAGACTAATTTAGTCTCATTGTAGCCCAGGGTGGCCTTGAACTCACGGAGAGCCATACCATCTGCCTCTGTTTCCCAAGTGCTGGGTTTTAAGGTGTGTGCCACCACTGCCTGGCCTCCATGGCTAATTTCTGAGGCTAGCTCCATACTCTATTCTTCAAGTAAGCTTTGTTAAAACACAAACAAAATATTACCACATAATATTATCAGCTATATAGATTTGCTATAAAATTACATAGAGACAAAATGTTTTAAAACAGTTTTTGGTGCAATATAGTGGTCTAATTCAACCCATTTAAAACAAAACCCTGATTTATCAGTATTCATTTTTTATCTATCTAAAAATACTTTAGGGTTATTTTTAAAACTTATGTTAATTTGAAAGTTATAAAACAAAGAAAGCAAAATTTCTAAAACATTTGAAATGATTCATTTTCTGTGAGTTTATGTCTCCTAGTAATGTCAGAAACTACATCCATAAAATCTCATTAACACAAGTGCCTAAGCATAAGATGACCAAAGACAACAAAAAAGATACGCTCATGTCAACAGGGAAATCTCATCCCTATACGAAAAGTACAAACAACTAAGGAATTCAGGAAGATAGAGCAACAGTCTTTAGGGAAGAGCACATCGATTAGTTATCCTATACCGAATGGTCAGCCCTAAAAACACATACACATGTAACATTATACAGACTGAGCAGGATATACTTAGAAATATATATGTATACACACATATTTATATTATAGATATTATTACAAATTATATTATACTATAAAATATATACATTATAAAATTATTATATATATATATATATATATATATATATATATATGTGTATGTAACAATTAATGAGAATATGCCATGAATTAGAAAGAGAGCAAGGAGGGGTCTGTAGAAGGGCTCGCGGGGAGAAAAATAAAAGGGGAGTATAAACAATAAAAGTCACAGTCTGAAAATAAAAAATAACATGAAAAACAATAATAAAACGTGAGGACACAGTTCAGTTGGTAGAGTGCTGCATTAGCAAACAGAAGCCCTGTGCTCAGTCCTTAACACTCTATGAAATTTGACCTAAGAGCTGGAGAGATGGATCAACAGTTAAGAGATCTAATTGCGTATGTTGAACCAGCCCTGCAGCTCTGGGATGAAGCCTACTTGATCATAATGGATAATTTTTCTAATGTGTTCCTGGATTCGGTTTGCCAGGATTTTATTGAGAATTTTCGCGTCGATGTTCATGAGTGAGATTGGCCTGTAATTCTCTTTCTTGGTTGTGTCTTTGTGTGGTTTTGGTATTAAGGTAACTGTAGCTTCATAAAAGGAGTTTGGCAATGACTCTTCTGTTTCTATATTATGGAATACATTAAGGAGTATAGGAATTAGCTCTTCCTGGAAGTTCTGGTAGAATTCTGCATTGAAACCATCTGGTCCTGGACTTTTTTTGGAGCACCGGCCTGAGTCCCCCAAGATCCAAATGAGGAGCATAAGGACGAAGAAAATGACGAAGGACTGCGAGGGATACTATCACCCACTGATACAAGGGGTCGGATCTAATGAGAGTTTACCAAGGGCAGTTGGACTGCGACTGAACGAGCACGTGATCCAACCAGATTCTCTGAATGTGGCCGGATTCTCTGAATGTGGCTGGCCCGGAGTCTTTCTGAGAAGCCATGGACAATGACACTGGGACTAGTTTCCTCTGCATATACTGGATTTTTGGGATCCAGTCGGTTTGGATACTCACCTTCCTGGACCTGGAGGGAGGGGGGACGAACTTGAACTTCCCACAGGGCTGGAAACCCTGACTGCCCTTAGGGGCAAAGAGGGAGGAGGAGAGGGAGGGGGGGAGTGGGAGGGTGTTGGGAAGAGGGGCGTAAATGGAAACTTTTATAATTTAATAAAATTACTTTCAAAAAAAAAAGAAAAAAAAGAGATCTAATTGCTCTTGCAAAGGACCAGGATCAGTTCCCAGTCCCCAACGAATGCTCACAGTCATCTGTAACTCCTGTTCATGGGAATCTAGTGCCCTCCTTGGGCTCTGCACACATACGGTACATATACACACATTTGGGTAAAGCATTTGTACACATAAAATTAAAATCCAATGAATGAACATACCAAAACCCTTGACCTGGTGACACATTTCGAGAATCCTGGTCTTCAGGAGGTAGAGGTAGGAGGATCAGAACTTCAAAGTCATTCTCAGACACATAGTAAATTGGAAGCTAGCCTGCACTGTATGAGTCCATATCTCAATCACCATCATCATCATCGTCATCACTATCATAATTATTACTATCATCAGCATCATCAGCATCAGCAACAACAGCAACAGCCTCAATATCTTACAAACAAGAGTCATTTTTCTCTTACAGGTTGAAGGTATAGTCTATATTTGGGTGACTTATTTTGTTTTGCTTTTTATAAAATTTCAACAAAATTCAAAGTTGAAAGCCTTATTTTCTTTTTCATGCCCCATGTGTGCTTGCTGTTCATTTGTGAAGGGTGAAGATTCAAGATTCTTGATCTACTTCAAATGGTGGCTAAAGTAAACACTCTTAAGTCAAGGAAATTGGGAAATGGTTTCTTCCAGAGCACATTTGCAAAGGTGGAAAGAACTCTCTGCAATGATCCATTGGGCAGAGAGACAGTAGCATCCAATGACACCAGTCCAGGATACTAAGTTGCAAAAGTAAGACACTGTAGTCTGCTTATCAGTCTTTCAGGATATGATTCCAATCATATGTAAGGAAAGGGCACTACTCATCAGGCTTTGGGGAAAATCTCTCTGCAGATTTGAATGCTGCAGTGTCGAGAGAGTAGCTCTAATATGCAATGCCAAGGAACCAATGATGCAATACTCATGTATTATGCTAAGGAGCTTATAAATGGAGAGACATATTACAGTCAATTTGCATATGTATGCAATTAATGCATCACTATATGCTTGTGTATTTGCATGTATGTCTGCAAGCTATAAATTTTATGTGTGCATGCATAATAAAATGTTTTCTATATGATCAATGTAAACACTGTTGATACTAGTAATGCAATTAACATAAACACAAGGGATGACTGAAGTGCTTTCTAGCAGCTGACTTTCTTAGAGATGAATCTCACCTTATTCCAAATGCAATAAATGCAATGTAGACAGTGTTATATCGCTCCACCAACCAAACCCCTATTAAAATTTCAGCTTCCCATAAGGTATTTAAAACACATGTAACTTGCATTAAAAAGGCAACCAATTGGTTAAAGAATCTTCCTCCAAGAAGATGCGACAGTTAGAAGGCCATCTGGGGTAGGTAGTAAACGTGTCTGGGAGCCTACATGTGATGCGTGATG